AAGAAGCGAAAGAAGCATCTGAGTAACCATGTAAGTGTGGCTGAGGCGATCGTTGGAAGTCTAGACCTTGAGTGAGTGTACCTTGAAGATAGCGCATAATCCATTTCACGGCAGCCCAGCATCGGTTGGGGAATGCTGAAATTGGGAGACATGATTAACTGCAAAGGAGATGCCTTGTAAAGCTTAAGTACTGGAGGCCACCAACAATACTTCTGTAGAGAGTGGGATTATCAAAGGCCGGAGATAAGTCAGACCCGCTTTGCACCAATTGATCAGTTGTGCAAGGGGTGGAGATGGCCTTAGCCTGTGCCATCCCTGAACGCTCCAAGAGTTCCATAATGTATTTGCGTTGATGGAGAATCAGACCTGAGGTAGTGTAATGGACTTCCATGCCAAGAAAGTAGGAGAGGCGACCGAGATCACGCAAAGCAAATTTGGAGCAGAGATGAACCATTAGTTGCTCAATGACCTTGGAATCATTGCCGGTAATGACAAGGCCATCTACATACACCAACATATAAAGTTGAACAGAATCAGTCCGGAGAATAAAGAGTGACGGATCAGTCTTCGAGCCCACAAAGCCAAATTCACGAAGAGCTTGGGAGAGACAATTAAACCAAGCTCTCGGAGCCTGTTGCAATCCGTATATAGATTTCCTTAGGCGACAAACATAATCTGGATGATCTGGGTCGATGAATCCAATCGGCTGACGCATATACACCTCTTCTTGAAGAGTGCCATGTAAGAAGGCATTGGAGATGTCGAGCTGGTGAAGTGGCCAAGCATGAGAAACAGCAACACCCAAAATAAGATGAAGAGTAGCGGGCTTGAGAACTGGGCTGAAAGTTTCGCCAAAATCATGGCCAGGGATCTGCTCAAAACCACGAGCAACAAGTCGTGCTTTCTCTCGTTCAAGAGAGCCATCTGGGTTGGTCTTCTCTACAAACACCCATCGATTAAAAAGTATATTACAATCTGGTGGAGCTGGAACCAAGTCCCAGGTGTGATTCCGGACCAAGGCATCAAACTCAGTAACCATGGCGGCACGCCAACGGGGCAATTTGAGCGCCTGTGCCGCGGTGGATGGAAGAGTAGAAGTGGAAGTAGCAAGAAATTGTCGGGGCGGCATTCCCGGTCTGAGTGCGGGTTGTCATACGACGGGGAGGAGAAGGGCGAGGGGAGGGGATAATGCGGGGGGAGGTGTTGAAGGGAGGTCGATTGGGTATGGAAGGAGCATGTGATGGTTTGGGCTTAGAAGAAGGAAAGGATTGATTATCAAGAGGGGAAGAAGGCGAGGGAACAGGGGCAGTGGTGGGTGCGAGGGTGGAAGAGGTGGTAGGCTTAGGAGAGGGGTGCGGACGAGGAGCAGTAGGGGGATGAGGTGGAGGGGGCTGGACAGGAATGTTGGGGGAGTGAGGTTTCGAGCGGCGATGATAAAGCAAAAGGGGCGTCGAGGAGGGATTAGCAAGGGCTGGGCGGCGGCGATACTGAAGCAATGGGGGAAGTCGCGGCCGAGGAGGCTGTGTAGGAGAAGCGGGGTCGGGTTGGGGAATGGGTGAAGTGGGCTGGGTAGGGGTATCGGGTTCGGGTTGGGATGTGGGTGGAGTGGGATGGGTAAGGGGGGCTGGGTCGGATTGGGGTATGGGGGAAGTGGGTTTGGGGAGAGTAATGGTGGGCTCATAGGGAATTTGTGTGGGCTGGGGAAAGTGAGGAGATGGTGAGATAGATAAATGGGTAGGCGTGGGTGCAGCCAAGGGTAATGGGCCGGGAAGTGTAACGGGTTCTGAAAGAAACAGATCAGAAGAAATATGGAGATTTGGGTCGAGGGGAGTATCCTTGTACGGGAACACCGATTCATCAAAGAGAACATGGCGACTGACATGAATACGACCAGTAGAGCGATCAAGACACCGATAACCTTTATGTAAACCACTATATCCCAAGAAAATACAAGGAGTGGATCGGGGTTGTAGTTTGTGAGAAGTGTGAGGCCGAAGCCAAGGATAACATAAACAACCAAAGACACGGAGATTTTGAAGATCGGGGGATTTATTGAGTAGTGTATAGAATGGAGAATGATTTTGGAGAAGTGGAGTAGGAGTGCGATTAATGAGGTAACACGCGGTATCAAACGCCAGAGACCATTACTTGAGCGGAACATGGGCCTGATGTAGCATAGTAAGACCATTATTAACAATGTGACGATGTTTCCGCTCGGCACATCCATTTTGTTCGGGAGTATAGGGACAAGAAGAATGATGAGTAATGCCATTGGTAGCGAGTAGGAAGATAAGGCTTGATATTCACCCCCCCCCCCCCCCCCCCCCCCCCCCCCCCCCCCCCCCCCCCCCCCCCAATCAGATTGAAAAGTTTTGATGGGGAGACCAAAAAATTTCTCAACAAGTTGACGAAATTGGATGAAGACATTTAGGAGTTGAGATTTATAGCACACAAAATACACCCAGCTGAACTTACTATAGTGATCATAGAATAACACATAATAAGATTGATGATCATAAGAGAGAATAGGAGCGGGGCCCCAAAGATCACTACAAATAAGTTCTAATGGTGCAGAAGCACGATATGAGGATGAAGGAAATGGTAGTTTGTGAATTTTACTAACAGAACAACCATGACACAAAGAATCAGGACTATCATGGTATTTTATTGAATGCGAAGACAAAAGAATGTTTAACAGCCCGGAGATTGGCATGCCCCAACCGTTGATGCCAGAGATCAAGAGAGGCAGTGAAGACACGAGGAAGAGTGCGACTTTGGATATGGAGAGGCAATGAGTAGAGTCCATCCTGCGCACAACCTCGATAGAGCTCAGCCTTTGTGCGGCGATCCTTGATCACAAAATATGTATCAAAAAATTCAATGGAAATAGGATTAGAACGAGTCAAGGAGCTCACAGAGAGAAGGTTTTGAGGAGCATGTTGAACGCCGAGCATATGATCGAGAACATAGGAATGATTAGGGAGATGAGCATGAGAGGAACCAGAATGAGAGATGGGAAGGCATTTACCATTGCCAAAGGTGACTTGATCAAGACCACTATATTCCAAATTATGAATCAGATTACCCAAATCGGCGGTAAGATGATGATTAGCGCCGGAATCAAGGAGCCACTGTTGGGAGGACTGGGCCGGGTGAGAAGATTGGGCAAGATATGAGGATGGGTCGGGGTGATAATTGGACTGGGCATGAATAATGGGGCTTGGACAATGGGCTCGCACATGTCCCCTTCCCCCGCAATTGTGACATAGCATAAGTGAAGGGCCTGCAGGCCCAGCACCCAGCAGCCCAGAAGAGACCGGCCTTGGGCCAATGTGATTGGGCCGCCCACCTGCAAAAGAAGGGTTAGAAAAACGGTGCTGGCGGAATGACCCTCGACCCCCAAAGCGGCCGCCTCGGCCACGTGAGAAACGACCGCCGTTCCGCCCCCCTCGAGCTGAATAAAAAGACTGCGGGGAAGACAAGGCAGCCGACGCCGAGCGGAATCATTGGAGCTGCATCTCCTCACTCAGAAGCAGGCTGCTGACGTTTTCAAAAGAGATGGGTTCTAGACGCGCCTCCAGATTCCGAGTGAAAGGACGATAGTCCTCGTCGAGTCCATCCAGAAGAGCAATCACCAGCTCTTGTTCGGTGACCATCGCGCCAAGAGCAAGCATCTTGTCATAGATGGCTTTTGCGCGGTGGAGATATTCATGAATCGTCTCAGTGCCGCGAGAGAGGCGAAGGAGATCCTTGCGGAGCTGGCAGATGACGACGGGAGAGCCCGAGGCGTAAATGGTTGCCAACGCGGACCACGCGTCAAGAGCAGTGGCTTTGTTGACGACGTTGGGCAGAACAGCCTCGGAGAGCGAGAGATTGATCCAGGTCAGCACATACTGGTCACGCACATACCATGGCCAGTAGGCGGATTGGGCTGGCCATTGACGATTTGTGGCGGAGCAGGAAGAGAACCGTCAACATGGCCCATCAATTGATGACATCGAAGAAGAGGAGTGATTTGGGCATGCCACAGTAAGTAATTTGTTGGGGTGAGCTTGACAGTGAGCTATGGGTTGGCGGGCAAGGAGATGGAGGAAACCGGCAGCGAAGTGGTCTCGCCGGAAGCAGAGGAAGACGAAACAAAGGAAGGGTCGGTGGTCATTGTGAGTGTTGAAGAAAGAAGAAGAATGACCGAGAAGAAAGAAGGAAAAGAAGAAGTGACTCGTTAGAGTGTAATGAGCTCTGATACCATGTAAGAGCCTCAGAAAACCTGAGTCTGATTGTATTCATTACATGTATATATACATTGATAGTCTAAACTGTATGCTATTCCTAGAGAAACCCACTAAACAATAACTCAGGAACTGAATGTAACAGAACATAATGGGAAGGGGGAAGTTGTTGAGCAGTTCCGAGTATGACTCCTCCTTATCACTTAGTAGTCCTACGGGATTCCTGCAGGCCCCTCTCTCCATTGTCCCTGCATATTGGGCCCGATTGGTGTATGGCCAGCAAAATTGATAATGTACGTGATAGCCAAGAGTTGGTGAGGCACATAGGAAATTTCACTAATGATGTCTGAACTGTGTGGTAATGGTTATAGTGGTTGGCGATTGAGAGGCAAGCACATCACTTGAGCGTAATCCGTACAAGAATATACTTCAATCAAAGAATGAAGAGGTGTTATGGCCAGGCGAGGAGGTGGACTTCTCACCATGATCATAGAACCCACTTTTCTTCTTTCTTTTCCCCCATTCAATAGGAACCCAGTAACGTCCACCCAAATTACAATAGGAATATGTCGGAACTAAAGAATGAAGATGACGACTAAAGATCGACAATGAAGGTGATACTGGATACATATCAATAACACGGACCATAAGAACCCCCCACGACACAACAAAACACTGCACAAAATTCCCCCGCCAACTTCCAGAAAATCAGCAACCTTGCCCCCAATGTATAGTGAACTCGCCCTTCCTCACCCCATCCTCCATGGTATCTTAAACAGCAATCGGAGTGTCCTATACATAATTCAATCACAGCGACAGTAACATTAGCGCACGGCAGGGTATTCTTTCCCAGAAGCAGAGCTAACAATGTAGTTGAATAGAAATAAATACACAACATCTCCTGGGAAGTGGACTCTAGGATGCAAACCTTATGCTACCACTCAATGCATTAGGATATTGATGAAACCAGGCCTTTCTTTACGCGACCACTGTAAGACTTAAAAATTTATAGTACTTGATTGCAGTAATCACTCAGGCGCATGAAGAGCACTTGCCAGTCTAGCCCTGAGTTCACACTCCTATTGACCACTATCTTATTTAGTGTCATGCAATATTAAGTTGCCACCAGTATTGAAACAGTGACAACAAGATATCATGCTACGGATTCACCAATATTATAGATACTTAGTTTTTATGTTCATGACAGGGCCAAAGCTAAGGGACTCCCCAACCACCATGAATATTTACTCTACCATGGTGGCAAGTGATTCAAGGTGCACTGGCCTGACTGGTAGTCCTCAGGTGGATTTTTCCTCGATGGCAGTAGAGGAATTCGATCCAGGAATCTCCCTAGCCAAAGCTAATGGTTACCATAAGACTCCAGTCATCCATGTTATTAGTGGCTTTGGTTTCCTGATATTTAGTCCTATTTTCATGTAGTGAACTAGTATTGGCTTTGGTTTCCCGGTGTCTAGAAAGTGCATAGTGTCAGAGGGGCATCCCAATACCTTAGCAGCCAAGTTAGAAACAGCCGTGTTAAACTTTTCCCGGGTTTTCGCCCCAGCAACTTGTCCTGCCTTTGCCACTTTACCAAATGCACCATTGAGCCAAGATGTTCCAGCTGTCACATACCTATCCACGTTAAAATAAAAAGAAGTTCGTTAGTACACTTCTCTATTTTCCTTGAGCGAGATTGAGCATTGAACTTCTACATGCGGACAGGAATTGATTCACATTGAGCACTGTCATCCAGGAAGAAACTATCTAGATATATTCAAAGGTAGGTTACTTAGAAAATATAACAGAGAAGGAAATAAACTGCACTAAATTCTGCAGTTCACTTCAGTTTTGCAGTTGCTACTCAGAGACGGATTAATTTAGCTGCCAGTAAAACAGCTTTTCATTGCCTATCTAGAGTATATTAGGTTGACCAAAAGAATTTACCTGCTAGATTTGACAGCAGATCCCGTGTTATTGATTTTCCTTTCTGCTGCAAAGATTGCTGCCATTGTTCTATCCGAAACATGAAGTCTTTGATCAACTGACTTCACTTTCTCATTAACAGCTGAAATCCCTACAGTAAATTTCTCTGACAACTTCACTCTCTGATCAAAGGAAATGACCTTGGCCGATGCATTGGCAGTCAAGCGATGCTTCTCATCAAATGCCTTAGCTTTATTCACTGCATCTTGACTGATAGCTGACCCTTTAGCCAACATGGTTGTAACAACTTCTTGTGCTCTGTTGACATAAACTTTTGTCCGTGGTGGACTAGCTTTTTCCTGAAAAACACATATGGATTGTTCATACTTCATGATATAACAACATTGAAGAAATAATTTCCAAGATGCAGATTATTACAAATAATAATAATGGTAATCATAGATACAATACAAATCCATGTTCTTAACAAGGGATGGTGTGAAGTCCAAAAGTGACTTAAAAATAAAACCAAGGCATTATAGGAATACAACAGAACCCATAAAGGATAACTAACTAAGGACACTACAATATTAATTCAGAGGCCTTATTGTTCATATGATTCTTCGGCCGTGCCATGGGATGAGAAGCACTGAAATAAATCAATGGCAAATGCAGAAAAATGTTCACCATCCCCATAATTTTCAGCTCTCAAATAGTCACCATATTAACCAGGATTGTATCTAACCACTTTCAATTACCTCAAAATGAGATGAAGAATTGTTGGAAGGACTAACAGAGACAGCATACTCCACCACCCTTACTTCCTGCACCAGTTACATGCAAGAAGGTTTAGTACTAGCAAAAATCACTTAAAAGGAGAAGGGCAGCTGACACCACCTGTTCAGCTTACCTGAAGCTCACGACTCGGATTTGGGGTATAGTCTTTGGCAGGAGTAATTGTCACTATTTGGTCCACAATAGTTGCCCCCTGCATAGGATGTAACATACATTTACTTCACTTATAGATCTGTCTGCAGTGTGGTTGCTCTCATAAAAATGGTTGCCATCACATCCAACAGAAGAAAGGAACTCTCAGAGGCTAAATAGAACAGGGTCTTCAAACAACAGTCTTAGTTGTCCTCACAAAACCATGAAGAGGACCAGCTCCTAACAGATGACTCGAATGTCAAGCAACCACCATTAATCTAATGCCTCGCAGGAAAATCTTGGAGTGCCCAACTTTATTTGGGTCAGGGGATATGACTTCAAATAACACTCTTGTTACAATCAGCACTTTAAGCAAGCTTTTTCAGGAGAGGAGAGAAAAACACATCTCCAATTACCATGTCACGGTTGACAGTAACCGTTGTTAAATCTCTAGGCAGACTAACCAAGTGTCAAGCTATGACATTTTCTGACACTATGACTGCCAGAGCCCTTCTGGAATTTAAAATGGGAAGAATAAATGTTTGTTTACATCATCAACCTTATCTATTCATGTCAAATGGCTCCTAGTTATGTGGGCAGGGGTGAGTATACAAGATACTCAAATAAAATTTATTTTGTATGCATATCATCAGACTATATGAGGTGAGACAACTCAGTCCTAAAAGTCTTTAAGCTTTGTCAAATTCATGTCCATAACTAGATAGCTTTGACCATACACTGCTCTCCAAGAAAGAAGAAGATTAAAAGCTCATTAAACACTGTCCGAGCATATTCAGAGTCACAACCAGTGAGCCCTAAAAGTATCATCTATTCATCTTAGTTGCTAAGATTTACATGTACAAATGTAAGAATGCTGGGAAATATTGACAGGAAATAAAGCCATATATGATCGCTAAGAGATTACATTGTCAGCTTACCGATAATAGCAAAGCAATTTCAAGGGCTTTGGCGTCTTTGAATGTAACGAATGCTGACTTCCCATTCTCTCTGAAACCCGACCAAACACATACAGAACAACCTTAATTAACCTCAAATAAGACAGATTACAGCAGGCGAAAAAATAAAAGAAGCTCCAACAAGAATATAATACAATGATATGCAAATGTAGTTATTACCCCTAACCTTTTCTCTTTTCCATGTTAAAATGCCTTAAACAATATTGGAGTTCCTCATTCGGCTAAATGCAAATCCTAACGAGTTTTTCCCATATAAAGCTTCCACAAATCTTAACAGTAGCACTACAAGTAACCTAAAAATGAACTTCATCACCAACGGAGGCGGCCAAAATGAAGCAAAAGTGCAGGAAGGGAAAAGGGGGAAGAAAGAAAAGAAGTAGGGGGGACGGTGGAAAAGTTACCGCCGGATCTCAATGTGTTCGATTTCGCCGGAGAAGGAGAAGAACTCGTGAATCTCTCTCTCGCCGGCTAGATCTGACAACCGCTCCACCTGAACCGTCCTGGTCTACACACACAACAAAAACCCACCACCAATTCAATCCGAAGTCCAAATAAATTCACAGAGAACCAACTAGGGTTTCTCCCCCCCAAAAGCAGAGACCGCAAAACCAGTGTCAGTCTCACCTGCATTGTGGTAGCTGATACCCTCCTCCGAATGAGCTGACAGAGCCAAGCTGTGAAATCTTTTTCCGCAGTCGAGAAGAGAGAGAGAGAGAGAGAAGTTGGAGCCAAAGAATATGGAAAACGAAGAAAATGGGAATGGCGAATGAATGGAAGAAAATGGAGAAGGGAGGCAAGAAAAAGCCAGCGCCACGCCAGCTAGTGGAGAAAGCTACCCGACAGACAATCAGTCCAACTCGGAAGCGCGAGCAGAGAATGTGGGGCCTCCTTCGGCTGCTGCTGCAGCTACGCATGCCTTACTTGCTTTTTTCTCGTGATTACGCTTTGTTTCACGAAACGGTGGACAAGGAGAGTTTTTCTTCTGTTATTTCCATATCTATTTTTTACTGGTGCGCGGTTGTTTTTCTTTTTTCCTTTTTGGTTGACAGTGGCAGTTGGTCGTTGGGAATATTTTATGGAAACTTTCCAAAATCATTATAATAAGGTCGTTCGAATCCGGTCAATGATGATCGAAATAGACGCATCACGGGCTCAAGATAGTGTGCAATGCATAACCATGGGTTATGCATCCATCAATACTTAAATCTGGATCCTTCATTTAGAAAATCTAGATCTAATGATGGAAAATTAAAGATCATTTTTATGTTTCCTAACTTTCTTAATCGGCTCATATTTTTTTCGTTTTAACTCGGATTTTAATTTTTTTTCACAGATGGAACGAGTTCATCGTGCTCTACCAAATGAGAACAATTTTCAATATTTTTTTAGAAAAAAAAATTCTGGCCTCTCGGTACTAACTGCATACCATATGGTATCTTCTTCGTTTTTAATTCGTTTTTGAAAAAGTTTGCACAGAAGGGACGAGTTCATCATGATCTATTGGATCTACAAATTTCAGGGTGAACAAATTACAGGACCAAAAAATACCACACAATACCATACAATACCAACCTGGTACGGGGTGGTATTGTATGGTATCTTCTTCGTTTTTAATTCGTTTTTGAAAACGTTTGTACAGAATGGACGAGTTCATCATGATCTATTGGATCTACAAATTTCTGGGTGAACAAATTACAGGACCAAAAAATACCACACAATACCATACAATACCACCCTGCTACGGGGTGGTATTGTGTGGTATACAATGTTAAAAGTCGTAAATGACAATTAATATACTTCTACTATCATGTATTCAACCATCCTACAGTCTTGGTTTGTTCATACCACCATGGTACGTTTTTCAAACCATAGGTATGCTTTTATTTCAATACTAGTCAATACCATATGGTATAGATCGGTAAAAAATGGCTCAATTTTTTTGTTCGAAAAATATATTAAAGTGGATATCATTTTGAAGAGCACAATTATTCTGATCTAACTGTGCAAAAAAAATTAAATTTCGACTTAAAATGAGTGAGAAATCGTCCGTCAAAGATTAAAGAGGGAAAAATTAAAGGCTTTCCATGAGAGAGAGGATGTTGATGTCATGCTGATGTGGGCTGGTTACCCATTGTTACTCACCATAAGGTTACTGACCTGATTCGTTCCTCGCATCACGGGCCGGATCTGGTGTTTACATATGGTATGTCGTATGTGAGAATGTACTTACATCGTCTCTTCGTCTCGCCTACTCCTCCTCCGCCGCTCTGTTCCTTCTGTTAACTTACGTAATCTTAAATGACACAAACCGATTTAACGTGATATCCCTGGAATGTCAGGACTAATCCACGGGAGAGTTCGAGCTCTCCAAGATGCAAAATCCACTAGGTTTCGTTGAGTACTACCGGTCATACATACAAAGTGTAAATACCCCAATCCCATAACCCTAGCACGTCTCCTCTCACTCATGCATGGATGCATGGGCTCGACATTGGGCTAGAACCCAATCTATCTCCAATCCACAACTTACACGTCCACAAATATATACATAACAGCCCAACTACTCCAACTGGACATATACTGCTCAACAGCCTCCCCCAAATTGATGCTGGTGCCTAAGCATCAATTTGTGAGACAGGTACCAATGCCGAGCATTTGTGAAAGACTTCGTAAATAGATCTGCCAGCTGATCCTCCGTCCGAACATAGTAAAGGTGAACCGAGCCATCCCGAACTAAATCCCGGACATAGTGAACATGGAGCTCGATGTGCTTCGTACGATCATGCAACACTGGATTGATTGCTATCTGGATGGCACTCGTATTATCCACGAACAACTCCATCGGCAGTGAACATGATACACCGAAGTCCTCTAACAGTCGACGAAGCCACACCATCTCGAAGCAGACATCAGACATAACATGATACTCGCCCTCAGTCGAGGATTTAGACACCTTATCCTGCTTTTTACACCGCCAAGAAATAAATGATCCACCAAACTGAACACACCATCCAGTCGTGGAGCGACGAGTGTCGATACATCCTGCAAAATCAGAATCCGAAAAAGCACGGAGAACAGGTGAACCAGTAGCTGGAAAGAACATACCGACATCACGAGTACCTTGCAGGTACCTTTAAATTCGATGCGCAGCAGCGAGATGCTCTACTCGTGGCTCAACCATATACTAGCTAACAATCTGAACAACATACGATATGTCGGGCCTAGTCGCGGATAGGTAGATAAGACTACCCACCAGGCTACGATAGGCCGAACCATTTGGAATTGGATCCCCCGATGTATGACTGAGCTTCAAGTTTAACTCCATCGGTGTGCTAACTGGCTTATAGTCTTCAAAATTATGCTCACTCAACAGATCCCAGATGTACTTGCGCTGACTAAGTAGTAATCCACGAGAGCTGCGAGTTACTTCAAGGGCAAGAAAATATGTCAGGTCACCCAAGTCCTTCAAGCTGAACGCCGAGTGTAGTCTTTGTTTGAGCTGTCGAATACCCAACTCATCATCCCATGTAATGACCATGTCATCAACATACAGTAATAGAGCTACAATCCCTGTCGCCGATGACTTCGTGAACAAGGACGGATCATTGAGGCTTTGCTGAAAGCCCATCTGTAACACACTAGCCTGAAATTTCTCAAACCAGGCCCTAGGAGCCTGTTTGAGACCATATAAGGACCGATGAAGTAGACACACCTGATCCGGGGTACCGAGGGTGTAGCCAGGTGGCCTCTCCAAATACACAACTTACACGTCCACAAATATATACATAACAACCCAACTACTCCAGCTGGACATATACAGCTCAACAACTTCTCCTTCCTTTATCTCGTCAAACAAATGATTGACCCTGAAGCAGAGCTGCTCCCCCACAAACAGATGATTCTCCGCCAGATTTCTCTATCTCATGCAAATGATCGGGTCGCGGTCGAAGGTAGCCGCCGAATTGAAGAACGAGGAAGCTTAAGCCACTTTCGCTACTGTCCACCTTAGTCGTCGATCTAGATCTAGGAAAGAAGACGATGGTGGCAGTGCTGATTTGTTTGTCTGTCTGCCGTAGAGCCCTACCGGCGGTGAGCGGCAGGGGTGATCTAGCTGGCTTCCAATGTGTCGTGATCGTAGTAATAATACAGAGAGTGTTCAATTATGGATTGGATTTTTCAGTTTTGATTGCGATTGATAGCTACTGCTGCCAAATAGGGTTTTGCTTTCTAGAGAGGGAAAGCCAACCACGTGTGAAGAGAGAAAGAGAGGGAGATTCGTGCAGACAAGAAACCAAACAGAGAGGAAAGAATTCTTTGAAACAAAACAGAGTGTTCAATTCTAGGCAAGCCAGATGCAACCCATCCGTCCATCTTCGTCCATACTGATAACTTCTACAAACCCAAGCTTATCATAGATGTCACTAGCTTGATTTTCACTAATTTGGGTTTCAAAGATAAATAATAAATATGACTTATGAGTATACAAAAGCATCTTGAGAGCTCATCTTAAGTGTTTGATCCCTGCCTAGCAGACATTCCACGAGAGGAGTTTAAAATTTTGATTGTAGAAAACCATAAGTAAAAGGAAAGGGAAATATGGAATAAAAACCAAAAGGAAAATCTACAAGGATACAAGGATCCACAACAGTAACAGGCAGCTTAGAGCGCATTAGTAGGGGGATCCAACCGATGATTGTTCCTTGGTGACCATTGTCTCGTCTACAGACAACTTGGCTTATTATAGGTCTTAGAATCCTTGTTTCTACCAGAACTAGAGCAACTTCCACGTCTTTTAAGGTAAGGGAGTCTCTAGGGATCTTATCTCTTTGGAGAATCTCTCTTTTCACGGAGTCGAGGTTCATGTGTTTATTTTAATGCTTCAGGGGGACACCTTTCCTCTTATCATGTGTCATTGACTTCTTCCTTTGGATTTTTTTTGTAGTAGTGTGCACGAATAGAAGATGAGGATGAAATGACTGGAGGCTGGGGTCGACATTTTCCTTCTGATGTTGGAAAAGGGGGGGCATTAATAGGCTTAGATGTGTCACATGAAAGGGTCAAGGAGCTGAGTTTACTACTAAACACCAACTGGGTCGGGGGAGAGTTGTGGGTCAAGCTCCCTTTTTAGGGCTCAACGGCTCTCCATTCTACAAAATTTAACTTTTTGGAGGCCTACCTATGATTATGATCAGTCATCGTGAGGGAGGTCACGGTTAGCCGGCCAACCGACCGGTCGGTTTCGGATTTAGGATCGATTAGCCGGCCAACCGAAAAACCTTCCTTTTCTGAAAAAAATTAATTAAAAAAAATCTCCACCAGTCAATCCTTATCTTCTCTTCTCTCTCCTTCTGTCTTCGACCACATCGTGCAAAAAAGTAACACCGGAAGACCTTTGCTGCTCTGCTTTTAGTTTCTACCTCCTCCTCGCAAACCAGAAAATCGGTGTGCCTACCTCCTCCCCGCAAACCTTCCGACCCCTTATGCTGCTCTGCTTTTAGTTTCTCTCTGATGCTCTGCAATCGACCGGTCGTTGCAGGCGCCTTATGGATGAGCCTCTTCCATGCGACGAGGGGCAGGGAGAAGGCAGAGGAGTGGGTCTCGGAGACTTAGCACCAACGGGGAGATATTGGCAGGCAGGGGGCCAGTCGCGTGAGGCAGGAAGTTTGAAGGTTTCGGTGGCCCTGCGACTACGGTGTCTCGGCGGCGTCTCGGGGAGGCGGCGGTCGACGGTGGAGCGCGGGGAGACGGCGGGGATTGGATCGTCACGTTGGGAGGGTGGAGGAGGTGGCTGCTGCGGGCTGCTGCTGTGAGTCGAAGAAGACGAAGGTAGGGTTTTATTCTTTTAGATATGCTGCTGGCAAAACGGCGTCGTCTCTTGTCGGTCGGTTGCGTCGGTTAGCCGGCTTCGGTTTATCGGCTAGACGACGAACCACTCATTTATACCGGCCACCGATCGATGCACGTATTCCTCGGTTTTCGGTTAGCTGCTAACCGGCGGTTAACGGTTAGCCTGGCCGGTTAGCCGCTAACCAGAAACCGAAATGACAGTCCTACCCGCGATGGTACTTCTTTCCTCCTGTAGTCTTCCTCTATTTCCATTTTTAGGAGGATTTACACCCTTGACCTCCGCCTTTTGAAACATAATTCCCTAATTATGGCTTGATCGACAAAGGGCTTCATCATATTGTTTTGCTTGAATTTGTGCACATCCATGGTCCATAGCGAGTGGGAGGTTCCAACAGGGTATTGACCGCCGACAGTTGCTAAGCTGCCTCCTTGATTTGTCATCTCAAAGCATATTTGCGAGGAGCTGCACCCAAGCCACCACCGATTTATGCGTGGCTAATTATCCTACACTCAAAGCATATTTGCGGGAGGTTCTCATAAACAACTTTATGCTAGAAGCCATCAAGCCAAATCCTTGCGAAGTTCCCCCTCTGAGCATGCTCGGTGTGGTAATCTAGTTTTATCATCCTACCAATAAGGTTTCCAAGAGACAAAAGAACTTCCATGTGATAGAAGTGAACTGGAAATTCGGGATGGGTTACAGTGGATACTAATTTTTTAGTAACTACCGTGGCAACTTATATCTAAACCTTTCATTAGCTCTATTTTTTCCCTTTTTTAAAATGACGGTTAAGATTATATTAAGGGTAATTTTGGAATCAAAATATTACCACACCAGATTATTACCTATATTTATAACTTACCATTTCATTCCTCTCCCCTAACCCTACGCCCACTCCCTATTCAAGATTTCTCCCAACCCTCCACCGCCTTCCGCCCAATTGCCTGCGCCGGCCATCCCTCCTCCCCCCCCTCTTTCTATCTGCGCCGGCCATTCTTCTCCCCTCTCTCCCTCCCTCCTTCTATTCTTCTTCTTCTTCCGCCGGCCATTCTTCTCCCCCCCCCCCCCTCTTTTAGATCTGCGCCGGCCATTATTTGGGCATCATGCTTGAGCCAAGCATTCCTGGTCTATGCAATTTCAAATAGTTTGTCCTCGTGTTCGCTGAATCATATTGATTGTAGACTAATGTAGAGATGCAGAACTAGTGCTTAGCTCACTAGAGAACAGATGGCTATTTTTTTATTGGTATATATTTTTTTCATATTCGTAGTGATTTTTTCGTACTGGTAGAGTTTTTCGCAATGGTAGTGGTTTTTTCCTCATATTGGTAGTTATTTTTTTCTATAGTCCTTATATTGATAGTTTTCGTAAATTGAGTGGTATAGATTGTTTATATTAGTAGTTTTCGTGTAATGGTATAGATTTATTTCTAGAATGGTATTGATTGTTTATGGTATAGATTGTTTATATTGGTAGTTTTCGTGTAATGGTATAGATTTATTTCTGCAATGGTATTTTTCGTGTAATGGTATAGATTTATTTCTGCAATGGTATTGATGTTTTTCAAAGTGGTAGTGTTTGTCTAATGGATTGGTACTGATTTCGTTTTTTTTTTTTTTTTTTTTTTTTTTGCAGAAAGATTGAGAAAAATATGGAAAGGAAATCTGGCTGGAGATCACGGAAGTGAGAGAAAGAGAGAATTTTAATTAATATATTTTTGTAACTACCTAAAATGTAATTTATTAAAAAATTAATTAATATAATTTATTTTTCCATACCCAATTTACCCTTGGTAACCACGGTGATTACACCGTAACCTGTCCCCTGGAAATTCAGGGAGTTGCACCCAAACCACCACCATTTATGGAGGTTGTCGGAGAACTTCCAGAATCTCTAATTTCAACATGTTCGAGCATCAATAAATTTGATAGATATTATTTAAAACTTGAAATTAGAGATTCTGAAACATCCATGAAGCATATTTATAAATATCACTTTTATTATTTATTCATGGATAATACATGCCTTAAATTGTTATGAGAAAAAATAGGGTACAAAACCCCATCATCTGCAATCCAACACATTTACAATCTACTGGCTAAAATGAATTAAAAATGGAAATATCAATTTTTTATCCAAACATTTTTCAGATTCTTTTATATTATCCAAACCTATTAAAATGTTATCAATTAGCCATATCTTTCGTAATGCATCAAAATATTAGCCATTTTTACTCTATTGTTAAAAATTTTGTAACTTTTTTCTTAGTTAAAATACTAAAATTTTGGAATGTTGACCTTCATCTGTCTCTTCCAAGTCAGTATCATGTTGCCAAGTCAATATTATTAACAAAATTGCCGACTAGAAGTTAACATTTGGTTAATTCTTAGTATTTGATGGGTCTGGATAATATAAAAGAATTTGAAAAAGGTTTGGATAAAAAATAGACATTACCCAATTAAAAAAAAAACAGATCGGTAAATGCACACCCCTTTTTTGCACTAGGAGTTTGACACGGATCTTAGAAGAGAGAATGTTCTTTTTCTATTCTTCTTTTTTTAACCGAATCCTATACCATTTGTTTTAACTAGGAATTTAAAAAATTTGCATAAAAAGAATGCATTAATTATGATATACACAATGATACCCATTTTTGCTATAATTGGAGCAAAGGAAGAATTAACTATTCAAAACACATGTCGATTTTAGTATTATTACTATCGTATCATCATGATAGGACAGTGGTATGATGACTCGTGTACTTCATTTTTACTCAAAAGTTTTTTAAAAAATTAGAGAGAAAGAAACTGTTAATTAAGATCTGCACAAGTATTCATTTTGTTTATGTTTTGTCAAACAGAAGACACAATAATTACCGGAAAAAAACAGAAGACACAATACCAACATAATATCATGATAAGAGACTGATATCATGTTATCAAATTATTTTGTCAAACATAAGACCTCGTACCAACATCATATCGCTATCATACTAACACCATAGCAATGATGAATGTGGTAAATGACAGTTCGAATCTTTCTATGTATCATGTATTTCAAATATCCTACACTATGTTATGTTCATACAAATATGGTACACACCCGTGTCACGTGGCATGATCTTATGTAGTACCAATATGGTACACATAAGATCATGGTATATACTGGTACTAAATGACTGTTCGTATCTTTCTATTATCATGTATTTCAAATATCCTACACTATGTTATGTTCATACCAATATGGTACACGTCCGTGTCACGTGGCATGATCTTATGTCAGTATCACCATGGTATATACTGGTACTAAATGTCTCATTTTTCCCCCAAAAAAATATCAAAGTGTATATCATTTTTAATATCGCAATTTATATGATTTATCTGTGCATTGTTTTTAAATTATGGTTTAAAACGAAAGAGTATAACCCGTTAAAATTTATAAGGAAAATGGTTAAGGGTCTTTCATATATGATGATGTGATGCTGATATGACAGATTATAAAGGGGTTGTTGACCACTAGGTTATAAACTTGATCTGCTCCCATGAAAGGCAAATTGAATAACCTCACGCTAAGTCGCTAACCCTGCCATGTACTTTTTTCATTTTCATTATTAATAATAAACCATAATTTATCAACAAAAGAATATATATATTAGAGGTCGTTGTAACTAGGATTGGAACACGAAACCTCTTAAAACAATGTTTATTATTGATAGAGACCCGGAATAGTCTTATAACATTGTTTTACATTATACCCCAATTTGACATAGTGAAGCTCCCAGACGTACACCACCAACGCATCTATGGCTACTTTAGAACTTGACGACTATGTTGATTGAATGGACTTAAAGAGAGATCAGTCTAAAGAATCGTTTGCTTGTTGGACAAAAAGAGCTGAGTATTTTTATGTTTATCGTTTTCAGACTTTTCATTTTTCAGTATCTTTTTGTTTTTGTTTGTTAAAGTATAAGTTGAAATCCGTTTTACCCATGCTTTGTTTTCATTTTGGTCAACCGATTAGTTAGAAGTGGACCATTAATAACATGATCAGGGTAGACATCCATCATTAGGAAATTTGAAAAAACAAAAATTGTTTTTAACAGTGGGGAATCAAGGAAATTGGTTAGGGTGCTAATATTTTTTTTAGCATGATGCTAATACTTGTTCAAGTAAATACAAACATTTCGTTTGAATGACATGTTCATTTAAATGAGTTGACCACAATTAATGAGGAGGAAGAGAAAGGAAGTGTACGCTTGGTATTATGTAAAATTAGGGAAGAGGAGATAACCAACTATCCTTTTTGCATTAAATGGAGAAGGGAGGGGGGCCAGCGAAGTATGCTAGAACGTGCTTAAAGTAAGTCAGAACCTCCTTAAAGCATGTCAAATTCTCAAAGTAGGCCAAAACCTCAAAGCATGCTAGAATTTTTTCAAAGTTTACAAGAAGTTTCTTAGTAGTGGACCTATTTGTAAATTTTAAAAAGTTTAAATACTAAAATGTAAGAAAGAAAAACTTTAGGTACTAAAATGTAATTTTCTATCAATATTTTTAGGACTCGAATGTAAAAATATTAATTTTAGGTACTAAGTATTAATATCTATTAAGTTCAGACCAAAACTGTAATTTGTAAATAAAACACTACAAAAGGCAACGCAGAGTAGAGGGTGGGCATCCTGTTCGGTAAACCCGAACCGAACCGAACTTGAATCGAAATGAAACCAAACTAATATTGTTTGGTTCGGAATTTAGAAGAGGAATAGACATAATTCGGAAACCAGGGTTCTTTCAACTGAAAAGATTCCGAATTTCGAACCGAAAGATGGTAAGTGAGCCCAATACTCAACCCAACTCATCCCCCAAAGTCCAAATTCCACAACTCCCTAAGGCCTTTCTATCTCTCTCGCTTTTGACAGCCAACCACAAACCCAACTCCTTAAGCCCAATCTCCTCACATCTATCCACTCTGACTCTCCATCATAGCCCAACCCCCAGAACCCCCAACCCTTATCTTCATCTACGACCTAAGAGACGAGAGTCTCCTTCAATCCAATATTGTCTCCTGGAGATGGATGAAAAGATAAGGAGATCGAACTCAATTCGCCCAGATCCAACTTCCAGTGACCCATCTCTCGTCGGCGCTCGCTGGAGAAGACGATCTGAAGATGAGGAAAGAAAGAAGGCAAAGAAGCTGCCGACGACTTTGGCAGCGGAGGAAGCAGGAGACGACTTTGGCAGTAGAGCATGCTGCCGACCAATGCCCTCCCTCTCCATTCTCTTCTCCTCGCTCGGATCTTCGGCGACAGAGAACACAAATCCCGGGAGGGATCCTCAACGATGGAGGGAGCTTTCCTCGTCTTCAATCGGGCCACCAATAACCACATGCAAGTGATGCTACCCAAAACTTTGTCGCCGTTGTTGTCGGCCGAAGTCTTCAACTGTAATTGGCGGCGTGCTCTCCTCGGTGAAGCGGCGGCGTGCTCTTTCCCTCAAAGTTCCTAGCGAGAGAGAATGGGGAAAAGAAGAGAGACAGAGAGGAAGAAAATAAAAAATGAACTACTATTTACCGCCCGTAAGTCTACTATTTGCCGCCCATAGTTATAATAATATTTACCATCTTACCCTTTTTTTCCAACCTCCATGTTCAGCCGACGATCATCGACCACCGCCACCTCCTCCCCCTCCCCAGCTCCGGCCGCCGCTGGTCAAAACCCTCCCCTCCTTCACCTCACAGCCTCAAAGCCCTCAACGTTGACGACTCTGAGCTGCCGACGAGCACGGTTGTTCCCCAACGTCATCGATCGTCCTCCTCCCCCGGATATCGTCGTTCCCCACCGTCAGATGGAGGTGCTCGGTCCGCTCGCCCGTGTCGGACGGGGTCCGCGATCATGCGTCGGACGGCGTCCGAAAACCCGCGTCGAATGGGGTTCGGAATCCGACGTCGGACGGGGTCCGAATTCCGGCGTCGGATGGGGTCCGAAACCTGGCGTCGGACAGTTACTTTTTTTTTTAATTGTTAAATATTTATTGAGTAATTAAGTAGTTATATTGTTTCAAATATTTATAAAATCACCCGTCAAAATAAAATATTTATAAAATCTGATAATTAGGCAAATTAAAGGGAGAGTTTTAAGGAAAGATTGACTTTTTCGTTGATCTAGTTTTGGTAAAATTTTTGTTTGATTTAGACTTTAGCGGTGGAATATTAAATATAATATTTTTTATGTAAAATTTAAAGGGAGATTTTTAAGGAAAGATTGATTTTTCCGTTGATATAGTTTTGGTAGAATTTTTTTTTTATTTTCGTTGAGCGGTAAAATATTAATTATATAGCCTAATACGTGTTATATTTTTTAACAAAGTATAATAGTAATTTAAAATCGTAAACCCTAAACCCCACTCCTACACCTTCTACTCCCCCAAATCCTAAACCCTAATTCCCATCAGTTAGTTAACTTCAACCTCAATCCATTCAATCATAATATGACATTGTCTTAGAGCTAAAATCGTTTCTTTCTCCACTAATAACAATCGTTTGCATCATCGAAATATGCATGATAGGCCAAAGAAATTGCTTGTTACCACCCCCAGAGCCCCCAAAAATCTCGATGGAAGTTTTGACACTATTCATACATTTTTGCCCCGGACGTCTAATCGAGAAACGGTCAATTCCATCATGTTCATATCCACATTTTAGTGATAAATAATAATTTTGTACAATATGAATTATTTCTGATAAATAATAGTTACTTAAAAACCATATAACTAATTTAATAAGTATTTTATAATCATCCTAACTAATTTAATAATTTTGAATAATTATCTCGTTAATCACTACCAATATAATTTAACATAATAATGCGGGAAAAATGCAACATAATTATAGTTTTTTTTTGCGATAAACATAATTTTAGTTAATCACCACCAACTTCTTTCCTAAATAACAATAATTTCCACTTATCCACCGCTTAATCATTTTCTTACTATCATTTAATATAATAATAAATTATAATGTTAATCTCTTTCTCTCTCCAATTAACCTCCCTCAAACTTCTATTCCACTCCCAGTTTCCCTAATTAACAACCGAGAATTCCTTTCGATAATTAAATCCTTAATTTTTAATTATATTTTTTGGTAACGGCCATTAATGATTCCTCTCTTTACGTGTTTACCGCTGCTTTTACCTTTTTGCAATTAAATATTATTTGTTAGGTAAAGCACTTAAGTAATTGTAAAATTTAAGAATTAATTTTTAAATTGTGAATTACAATTAGTGCTAATTTAGCGTAGTGTTCAGTTATGGATTCCTTCCCAATTACTCACGTTTCACGTCTCAATCTCATTATATTAAATTAGTTTCTTAATTAATAACCGATCGTATTAGTGTTTAGCATGGGAAAGAAATCGCCGCCTTCCCAATTAAATATTATATTAAAATAATTATTAAATGCCAAAATTCCTCTAATTAACCCACATATATATCCATTTCCCCATCAACATCCCTAATTAGCAACCACCCACGTCTAATTTCAATTAATTAATTGATATCCGAAAAAAATCCTTAATTAACATATCTTATTCCATAACCGACGTTTAGTTTCAAATCCCTAATTAACAATAGGAAAACTTCCCTTAATTAACACAATTAAGCCCAAAAAATAAATGGTGGAATGTAAAGAGTCAAAAAAATAAAAAAGACTAATAATTAGGCAAATTAAACGGGATTACTGGCGGATCTAACTTTGACCCCATAATAATAGGAATGTTTGTTAAATTAATTATACAATAAGATTTATGCCTAGTTTTTTTTTTTTAGGTAATCTTGCTATTTTGTAGTTAGTCGTTTCTATTGAATTGCGTGGCCATGTACACGAAGAAGGGAAACGGACGGTGAGGCAAGGTTCGACGGCGACGTTCAGAAGGGGCTTGACGGAGAATTTCGAACGTGGTCCGACGGCGACGTTCGGACGGGGTCCGACGGAGACTTTCGGACGGGGTCAGATGATGACGTTCGGACGGGATCCGACTGAGACTTTCGTACGGGGTCCGACGGCGATGTTCGGACGGGGTACGTTCGGACGGTAGCCGCCGACCTTTTTATTCATAAAAACCAATTATTAATTATTTATAAGTTAATTAAATATTATGTTAAATTATGATTTGTGATTAACGGATTACCAAATGGAGTTAGCATGTGATTCCTGCCCCATTGCCGGCGGCGTTCAAACGGCGGCGGTGGCGGTCTGACGGTGGCGGTGGTCATGGTTTGACACCAACGACGGTGATGGTCTGCTGGTGTTGTGGTTGTGGAATGAAGTTTGATGTTATAATGGATGAGGGATAAAAATGACATTTCCACTAAAATTATGGGCGGCAAATAGTAAATATTAGGGCGGCAAATAGTAACCCTCAATGAAAAATGGCCTAGGAAGAGAGGGATGGGACAGGAGACGAGAGATAGGCGGAGAGCAAAGTTGGGTTTTGTGTGAAAGAGGATTTTTTTTTTTTTACAAAAGGGAAAGAGGAATGTGAAATTTAGGGTTTTTTGGTATATCGAGCCGAACCGACATATATTTCGGTCTGGAGGAATTTGAGGACCCAGTATGCTCTATTTCGGTTCAATTTTGACAGAATCGAACCGATGCCCACCCTAATGTAAAGGAATGGGGAAATACCGACATATATTTCGGTCTGGAGGAATTTGGGGACCCAGTATGCTCTATTTCGGTTCAATTTTGACAGAATCGAACCGATGCCCACCCTAATGTAAAGGAATGGGGAAATAGAGGGGAAGGGAAAAAGGAGTAGTTACTATAATACTCTTAGTAAAATTGTTAGCATAATGCTAACACTTAAGGGTGTTAGCACCAGTGTTATTAAAGCCGAGCTGAGCCGCTAGTCCCGATCGGTAAAACCGCCACCCGGTCACAAAACCGGCTCGAAACAGTCTAAAAGTCGCTCTGGTTTTATGTAACGGTTGACGAGCGGCCGATGCGGTTAGCCGCTCGAGCCGCTCATCTGGTTTTTGCCATTCAGCCGTTAAATTTAATTAAAAAAAATGCAGAAAATTGAAATAAACTAAAAACTTTGGGCTCTCAACTGAATCCTTATTTCCATTTCACAATTTCGAAGGAAAGAGACGATCTCTAATTAAGAAATGTCCACTATTTATACTGATAAGGTTTATTAGGTACCGGTTCTCTAACGGTTTTTAAATGGTCTAATGTCGGTTGGACCACTAAAGTACGAGCCGTTCGCATTACCGGGTCATTCTCTGGTTCGGTTCTGACAACATTGGTTAGCACCCTATCTGGTTTCGGAATAAACTATTTTCAATCAGTTGTAGGTGTTAATATTGTGAAATTTTTGGCGTAAAAAGTTTTTCTCTCGTTTAGCGGGAGTTTCGCTTGGAAATTTAATCATGTTTTCCATTGATTGCTAGATTTTTGTGAGAATTACGATTATTTATCCCAAACCGCCATTACAGAACAATGTTTAACTATCTTAGATGAGCACTTCTACTATGCTATATAGTATTGGTGCTTTAATGTACAACTTGAAGTTGTACCATAACATTAAATGTATAAGTTTAGGTTGTACCATATAAGAATTTGTATCATTATGCATGGTACAACTTTACAATTTGAAGTTGTACCATCACATAAAGGTACAAGTTCAAGTTGTACCATAAAAGAATTTGTACAAAAAGTATAGGTACAATCTAAAGTTATACCATAACGTAAAAGTACAAATTCAAGTTGTACCATAAAGACAAAAACCTATGACACCAATACTATATAGTATTGTAAAATTTCTCATCTTAGATACTAGCTTTTTACCCGCCCGTTGGGCGGCACATTTGTATTGGTGTTTATTTTTCCGTTCTATTATTTTTTTTATAATTTATGTATGTTAAACTATTATACATTGAATTGTTAATCTTACTTACTTGATTTTAGGTATTGTTACACACTTTTATATCTTTTGTTTGTTTATTTATGAAATTTTGATTTTATTAAATGAGCTCTCGGTAGACCTTTCTTTATTGATGTATAAGTTGGTATCGAACCCACAATTTAGAATATAAACATAGATATTATTAATTTTTTAGCACACAATAGTGACAAAGAAGTTTTGAAAAATTAATTAAGCAAATATGTTTCAATTAATAAAAAAAAGCAAAGAGATTCTTATTTCTTCTCCCTTCTTGTATGTTGGTATATGATAATACATAATATCGCGCTCTAAATCCCACGAACATCGTGCACTATTAGTTACTTGTGCAATTTTGGAAGAATGAGAAAACACATTAGCATCACACATCATCAATCTTCTGCTTATTCATTTAATTTATCTTCTAAATGTTCTAGCAAAACCAACCAAAAATAGAACTATCAATTGTCACTAATTTATTAAAACAATATTTATCATCATACTAAACTACATATAAACACTATTTATATTTGTAGGGAGCTGCATACCCCCTTCAAAAAAATAATGGTGTATTTTTTTTACCTAATAACAACATAGACGAATTGTAAAAGCTGCATACTTCAATAAAACTCAACTCATTGTATCTTGTAAAATCTTCATTCATAAACACGATTGATGCATCAATCCAAATAGTTGTCAACATGCTAAAATCAAGTTTTAGTTTGGGATTCAATTAGGCAAAAATTCACGCTAAGGAAACAAACAAATGTCATTGCAAACGTATAGAAATTGAAAGAACGTCAACATAGACAACTTAGAGACTACCACCACCATTTTCTTTCTTCTTCACACCTTTATAAAACCTCACATGTGTTCCCTTCTACTTATAACCTCCTGCTATGTTTTACTTACTGACCAGATCATAATCATATAGCTAGTAGCATGTCACTCATGAACATAATAAACAATCCTAACAACTCTACTTTCCATTTTATTTTATCATCCATGGAATTGGGATGCAATAGGAAAGTAAAATGTTCAATTATTCAACCAAAGGAGAGATACTCTAAGTCCAAGTAATAAACCATTGCAATTGTC